GTGCACCGCAGACTGTATTGATTGCCGTGGGCTGGGCGCTGAGCAGCTCGTCGAGCAGACGCTGCGCTGTGGGCAATATCTGCTGCGGCAACTCACTGATCAGATACTGGGCGAACTTTTGCAATTGATCGCGCTGCAGGCGAGTCAGCGACTCGGACACAGGTGCACGCAAGCACACCTCCAGGGGCTGCACGGCATGAAAAGGAAAGAGACAGGGTTAGAGTGTGAAATGGTGACAAAGGCGAGTCGTGACATGGCACACATACACAATGGATGCGGTGCAGGCAAACGGCCACCACATGGGAGCACCAGTACGCCGAGGAGGTGCAGGTGCAGTTGCACGAGGAGATCCGCCGGCGATCGAATGTGACGGCCACATTGAAGAAGGTGCGCGGCGTTTGGCTCACAACGCTGGCAGACAGATGAAAACCTGCAAGATGAGTGTGGACCGATGATTATCAGACCTTGATATGCAACACACATACATATATCTTGATGATATCTTACCTATCTGTAGCGGATCCTTAACGGCGCGCATGCGAAACAGCTGATCGCCACGATGGAACTCCTCCGCCGAACTGTTGGCCAGACACGAGTACAATCGTATGTCCTCCTCGTTGTCCGGGAAGCTCCAGAATGCAATGCGCAGCTGCAGCTGCTCCGGCACGGGCGGATAGACATGCTCGACCAGCTCGAATGGTATATACGAGGCAACACAGCGTGCTGCAAGCTCGGTCAGCGAGGAGACATCTGTAAATAATAAAAAAAAAAAAAATCAATCAAAATGGATTAATAATATTGTAGAGTTTTGATTTCAATAAAACCAATTGCCAGTAGCTCTTCAAGTGGTCTCCAAGGGGGAAGTCCTTAGAGGGAGCCGATTCGATTTTTGTTTGTAATACAAGGAATGCTTAACACACATTCATACATACATACATATATATAAACACACAGACAGGCACATACACACACACGCACGCACGCACACAAATAAAGCATAAATCAAACGCTATCCGAGACGACTCGAGCAATGACCAAGTAAGCAGAGGACGAAGAAGAAGAAGAAACAAGTCAGTCGCTGCAGAGGTCAATGGCGTTTTAGATGATGAAAAAGTTGAATTCAATTTCGGTTGCATGCTACACACACACATCATTATACACATACATATACATGTCTGTACATATGTATTGTCTGTGCGTGCAGCGCAATTGACTTGTAGATAAACAAAATTCTACAAATTGTCATGCAAATAAACAAATGAACAAACAGCCAACACATTAACAATAACAACATGCATACATAAACACACACACACACACACAAACATACATACACATACATATATAAAGGTCGTGTCCATCCGCTGTAGAGCGCAAAACAAAGAAGCAGAGAAACAATAAAAGAGTTGAGTTTATATTTTTGTGTCGTTTTGCTGCTTTTAACACGAGAAACTGACGCAGCAATAACAACAACAACAAAAACATTGGTCGCGCGCACCCGACAAGAAAACAAGGTTCAAGTTCGCCCACACACACACACACACACACAGCCATGTGTTCATCTTCTAAGAGCTGCATGCATACATATATGAATATATTTATATATGTATATGTATATATGTACATATAAACAGCTGTCTTCAACATTTTAATGGAAACCTGTTTCGCTTTCACTATCTTGAAGGGTCTTTGCTAATGTGTTATGTTTTTAAGCTTTACTGCTCGTTCCCCATTATCGATATCGATTTTGTACGTTTTTGTCGGTTGGCATTCATTACACACGCACGCACATACACTCATACGCTTACTCAGTCACCCGCTCACTCACACACATGCACACGCAAGCATCGGCCAGCGCATCGTTTGTTTGTTTTCATTCTTTCGCTCGTTCGCTCGCTGTCGCTTAATTTCAGACACTCTGGCACCATTTTATTCAAAGTCATTTTCCGCAAGCGTCAAGAGTTATTATTCATGCCTCCTCCTATTCCTTCTTTATTCGCATTCCATTTGCTGGCATCTGGTGAGTGTGTGTGTATGGAAGCGCAGGCAGGCAAGGGTAAGGAGCAACAGTAACAACAGCAACAACAATCGAGTTCAGATATGTGTTATTGTCGTCAGTGTTGTCCCCACCAAAAAAGAGGTCAAAATTGTGCATAATACATGTGCACTTACACATGTGCATACACACTTACGCACATACGTATGTGTGTCGCTCGCTCGCGATTCCGGAAGTGCATGAAAACTGATATGCCAACAAATAGCACAAATACAAATAAAACTGTTCTCGTATGTCTTTTGCTGCCTTTACTTTGTCAGCAAATTTTAAAAAGCAAAAAAAATAAACAAAAATGCATCACGAGACTAATTAGATGACATGTGGCAACAATCTTCACATAGCACATACAAATACATATGCATATACACAGGGCTGTAGTGTCATCGATAGTTTTTTATGCCATTTAATGCCATTGACATCGATCCTTGTATATATTACAAGTTTTGTCAAAGCAGGTGGATATATGGATACATATACAAGCAGAACTATACATAAATATTCTATATATAAATACATGAATGTATATAGAGAATATGTATCATACGGTAAACTCGTACACATTTATTTGGCCATTATCCTTGAAAAGGTTCCTTGACACAAACGGCGACCAAAGTAAATTACCAACGCAACGCAGAAAGAAGACAGAACGTCATTTTTTTTTGCGGTTATTATTCATTTTTTATACCTATTTCAAAGTCAGACAGACAGAGAAACACAGGTACACAAAACACACGCACATTCATACCAATTTTTACATTCATTTAACGTAAAAATGCAGCTGCCCGGTGCTCGCTCACCTAGTAAGATGGCCTGGCCCCCAATAACAAAACAAAAAACTAGCATACACAGGCACCAGCAGCAACAACAACAACAACTAAACAAAGAGCAATGAAAAGTAACGGCAGCGCAGTCGCAGCGCTGCTGAGATTGTATGTTGATAATGGTGCGGCGGCGCACAGGACACGAAACGGACCAAAGCCAATGAGCAATGCATACATACAGACACACACATACATAAAAAAAACGTTGTGATGTGCAGATGAGAGGAACAGACAGAAGAAGAAGAAGAAGAAGGTAATACAAGGTAAACGGACAATGGCAACAAAATGTAAGCAGCAAAGTCGTGATTTTGACTTTAGCGATAAGCAGGAGACTCAGGCAGAAATAGTTGTTGTTGCTGCAACTTATAGCCAATTTTTACATATGCTTACATACATACAAATATACCTACAGATATGCTTGTAGGTACCTTAACATTTACATTTACATACATACATACAGACTTAACGTCGAATTCGGTGAATGCATCGAAAATGTAATGCGTGTAATTTGAGCGTATGTAATTGGCAGTGTTGCCAGATCGTTACAAGCGCAGCGTTGAATAATCTGATAAGATGTAAATTGAATTTGTTTTTGTTTCTTAAAATTATAGAAAGGTTGAATAGCTCAGCTATATATGCTTGAGCTATAATGTTGATGTCCTCAATAAAAAGAAAGTACTCATTAGACAGCTGCCTATGCTCCCATATTAACCGATCTGGCGGTATGCGAGACACACACACATGCATGCACACATTTCTATGCAGGGATATGTTGGTATATTATGTGGTTAACCATTGATCAAATGGTAGCCTCAGAGATATTTTAAGGATATTCACTTACCAAACTGGCGTCCACACTGAACACCGCCCGCCATGGAGGCAGAGCTGGAGATGCCACCGTTGCTGCCAGTGCCAGGTGCACTACATCCTGCCACACCGAATGCGCCACCTGCATTGCTATTGCTGTTGGCCGCAAGTGGACCTAAGCCATTGCCATTACCATTGCCCAGACCGGGGCCGGTGGTGCCATTGGTTGGCTTCTTCCAGCCACGCCAATTGTTGCACAACGATTCAGCCTCGGAGCTCCAGCTGCAGAGAGAATCCTCTTCGAAGCGTATGGAGTCGTCAAAGCTGAAACGATCCATTTCCTCGGGATTCCACTCGTTGCCGCCGCCACCGCCGTTGGCCGCATTTGCATCGGCGCCAGCGCCTCCAGCAGCAGCTCCACCAGCGGCAGCTGCATTATTGTTATTGTTGCGGCCAGCGGCGGCTACAGCGGCAGCGCCACCAGCGGCGGCATCGGCTCTGTTGTTGTTATTACTGCCGTTGCGATTCGCCAGGTTGAAGCTGAGCTTTAAGCGTTCTGCGAGCTTATGATTTATTTATTCAGCTGCTGCTGCTGCTGCTGCTGCTGCTGCCGGGGCTTTCGCTGTCTCTCCCTCTGTGTGTGTGTGTTTGTTACTTTTGGATGGATATTTGCTTTCTTCCGGTACTACTCTTTACTCAATCCTCTATCTATTTCCTTCTCGCTTATTTGCAAGTTCTTTGTAAAGTGCAATTTGGATAATTACGCTCAAGTTTATTCGTGTAAATGGCGAAATGTTGAGCGGATTACTTTTATGTAAAGTTCTTCTCTTTGTTATTATTATTTAGTAATTTTTTATTTTATTTATTTTTTCAAATTTTCCTGTTGTCAAGTGCTGCTTAATGCTTTCAAATTTATTTCAAAACTATTTATTTACAGATACATACTTATGTATGTATGCGCGCGCGTGTATGTGTACGCATGGATTTGTGCAGCGTCGCCTGCTACGTTTGCTCTGATTCTTTTTCTCTTGCTGGTGTTGGTGAATTGTGTTTTGTTTTCATAGGGATGGTTGCGTGATTTCAAAACAGCGAGAAATATGAATTGCAGGTTAAAGGTAATTTCACTAATTTCACTAGACTCTTTAATTATATGTATGTGTATGAATATTTATATATATACGCGTGTCTATACTTTATATTTTATTCTTTCCACTGTTTCATTTAACAATTTTCAATTTAAAGTACATTTTTAATAATATGAAAACACTAGAATTCTATGATCTGTTTGTTTTTTTTTTTCACTGTTCTTTTTTTTCTTGATTTTGTGTGTTGCAAGCGCGGGCACTTCGTGTCACGAAAAACAGTTATCGTAAACTGCGTCAACTTGCATACGCATAAGCTTTTAACTGACCGACCGAGCGACCGATTGTTACAGGACCGAAGGCTGGGAGCTGCCCAAAAGTAACAAACAACAACAAAAATAATTAAAAAATCAAAAGTTTAATGGAAGTCTCTGAGACGACGCGTTAGATGGAACAGATGCAAGCAAACGAACTTAACGCGCTGCGCTGTTGCGACTGCGACGGCTGCCTATTGTTTATTGTCGTTGTTGTGTTTCATGCTATTTTTCACGGCTATGTGAATTTGTACCCCCCACAGCAGCAGCAGCAGCAAGAAGCATAAGCAGCAGCAGCAGAGAGTGAGAGAGTCGCTGGGGGAGCAGTGACTGCGATTGTGTATTGGTGTATTTCGTGTATCTGTGTGTGTGTGACTGCCAAAATAGAGAACGCCAAAATGGCCAATTGTGTTGGTCACACAGTTTTATGCATAAACGTACGTATATATGTACATACATACAAATATATGTATGCATGTATGTATGTATTTGGTCGTTGTTATTGCTGTTTTAGCTGCAGCAGGACCAGCTGCTCTGTAGTTGCTGTTGCTGCCCCCGTTGCCGTTGCTGTTGTACCGTGTCTCGTGCGTCCCTTTAGCAACCTTTAATTATTTTTTACATTTATTCTTTCTGCTCATCTTTGCTCGCTCCTTTTATCCTGCTTTATGCCTTGTCGCGAAACCTGCGCGCGAGCTCGTACTCTTTCTCTCTTTATCACACAAATACACACGTACTCGCGCTGGCCTGTTCAGGCAGACAGAAACACACTGAACAAACGCACACACACATACACATAGATACATATATAGACTAATGCACCGCTCCCGCACACACACACACACTTTCATAAACAACAACAGCACAACATCAATATATTGATATACATATATCAATGCCTGTATGTGTGCTCAAATATATGTGTACATGTTGTGTTTGTGTGTGTATGTGTGCATGAAATGCGTAAAGAAAACGTTGAAAAAACCTTTTTGTTTGCCCGTTTCGAAATAATTTTGCTTTGTCACACTAATTATGCATTCCAAATTGTTAGTTCTCAATCAATGCAGAATTTAGTAATGATTTTCTGATTCATTTGCTGCATTTTTACACAGTTTTCATAAATTTATACGGGACTTTGTTTTTATCCATCACAAAAATCGCGTTCGCGTTCGTACTAGTGATGTAAAAAAACATCGAAATATCGGCAGCTCTTGCCAAACAATTCGATACCAATATATATCGGCCAGAAATCAACTTCAAATTATAACGATGGAGGGCGCCGTATGATAGATTTGTAATATATATTGTCAACTGTCTATTGCAAAAACAGCTTATTAGAATGATATTTTTAATTACAATTATTTTTATTTTGAATAAGGTTCAGAAACTTCAAAATATAAATTGTGCATATAAATTTATACATATATGGATATGTGCGACTATCGGTAACATCAATACAATCATCATATGGGGGCGTTAGTAGACGTACACAAGCTAACTGATATATTAGATTATGAGCGCCACATTTTTAAATTAGTCTTTATCATTATATTTCTCTATGAAGATGGCCATTAGTCCAGTAAATCTGCTCTCATGTTTGAGATTAGATTACTGAGCAATGTCGTGGGTTTTTACACTATAATTTTTTAATTTGATCACTACTGTCGCTGTTTAAGTCAGTTGGTAAGCCATCCAAGCGCTTGTTGCAACCCTTGACCTCATTTTGTCCACGTTGTAATTGGGTTTGATGTAGACTTTTCATGGACATTTCATAGAATGTTGCCGTTATTTTTTTGGGAGCTCGAAATTGACAAAAAAAAAACTTTCTAGGCCATCTAAAAATGTAGTGGAGCACGATGCGTATGATTATGGCCAGTTATGTGCTGGCTTGTTGCTGTGAGCCAATTGTCCATATTAAAAAAGAATTAAATAAGGATTTAGAAAGTTATATAATTATGTATTTACATATATTAAACACAAATCTGGTTACAGACAAATTGAGTCATTTGGGAATTTTGCCGTTATGTGAGCTTGGACGGCGTAGAGTTGAATTTACAGTGAAGGTTATTTTAAACATGAGAGCAATGCTTTATATCAATCCTGTCATAAATTATTAGCAAATTTTTAAACTTTTAAGAAGTTTTTCAAAAATTTACAAAATTTAAACTCAGCAGCTGTTTACTCAGTATCGGGATTGTATAAATATATCGCTTGATAGAAATAATAATATCGATAACTTTCAGTAGCACTTCAGCGTCAAACAAAACATTTCACATTCGGTTTTTTAATTGTATTGACTCGTTTAAAGTTATCAACCGACAAAGTTGCTACCAAAAAATGCCGCTAAAGGCCGTTTGCATTGAGTTGCGCCCAAATTTGAGCAGCGGCCATGTGTTCCTGCAGTTCGATCAAGAGATTCGCGGTCGCAAAAAGACGCGCCTTATCATCAAGGAGCACGACGTGCACATTGTCGAGAATGGCCAGAACAGCGGGGGAAGTCAACTGGTGCTGCGCCACGATACCTTCGGCATGGACATACAACGCATTTCCGTTTTCATTGCGAACGGCTGTCACATTAGCTTTCGCTTCAACTACACCACACTGGATGTGGAGGCACTGGAGAATAGCATCGCCGTCCCGATGAAGGCACAGCCGTTGGTGCTTGGCTTTGAGGAGCACTCGGAACAACTGGTGGCGCTGCATTGCAACAATTGTCGGAGCGAATTGGTGCCCGGCTGCAGCTACAATCGCTTGCGCGAATGTCCCAGCGGCCTGATCGATCCTAGCGAGTTCTTTTGCCACAATCATGGCCCCGCAGACAAGCCGGCCGCCACATTGGTGCCCGGCCCCAAAGATCTCTACTACGGCCTCAATTACATTGTGCTCAACATGAGTGTGCTGCAGGATCGCATCATGAATCGTGCGGATCATCTGTACTGCAAGCGCTGCATGTGGATGCTGGGCCTGAGCACACAAGCCGGCGCCGCTGCCAAGCTCTGGGCCGATGCACTGCGCTGGCTGCCACAACCCACAGATGCCACAGCGCCAAAGCTTCAGCCTCGCCAGCTCTTCAAGCACTCGACCGTGACGCAACTGATGCTGCGCCTGCTGAGCACCTTGTGGCCGACGCTGCTGCCGCCACTCTTCTCGCCGGCCAACAGTCGAGCGGTGCTGGTGGCCAGCATGCCGGATCGCCAGCAGCACCACATGCTCATCCAGGTGCTAGAGCCACAGCTCACCGTGCTGCGGCGCACAGTCAGCGAGACCGAACAGCTGCAGCACTATCGCGCCTGTAAGCTCTACTTTCGCGTCTTCGGCAGCTGCCCGCCGGATGCGCCAGTGCTGACGCAGTGGCAGCAACAGATCGAGGTGCCCAAGATGCACATCTCACCGCACATGTTCCTCGAGCTGCAGGCTCGCTTCGATTACAATTCGGCGCTGATCCCGCATGCCTGGCGCTACAATTCGGAGGAGGAGAAGCTGCTGCTCAGCTACTTCTTCTACGAGACCGAGGCACAGGAGCGGCTTAACCAGCAGCGCCCCAAAGAGCAGCCTGTAAGCGAGAATCTTCTTTTACTGTTTTATATTACAATTGTCAATCTTCTTCTACCTCCTTTGCCTCCTCCTTCCAGCAGCGTGCGAAGCCCAACCCGCCACCGCAGAACACTGAGCTGGACGACTATGAGACTGATGCGGGCCTGGACGCCAGCGTGTATGAGACGGATGATGAGAGCGATGACGAGCGCTCGGACTCGGATAGCGAACTGACCTCCCCATTGCTCAGCAAATCAACGCCCATTATGGTCTACGAGCAGAATCTGGCCAAGCGCTGGCTGAAGCAGCAGCAGCGACAGCCATCGCCGCCACCAACGCCGCCCGATCCGAGTGAATAGAATAATATAGCTAGATCTTCCGGCTGGAGCCGAAACTAGTGTTGACTGTATAATTTAAATCGAGTTTTGTTATGTTTGCCTTAGTTCCATTCTTTCTCAATTAATTTCATAACTAGTTTTTGGATTATGCAATTTTATTTAATTAATTCATTTAAATTGATTAAAATGTAGCAAGAAGTATTAAGTATAAGTCATAAATAAGTATGTATATTTATATATGTATACACAAACATATTATTAACATTATTATATAAACCATATAGTTTTATGTGTATATATGCATCAAGGGCGAAGACAAACTTTGCACATTTGTGATTGAAAATCTCGACTTTATGTTTAATTGTTTTGTGATTTAGGGCAACTAATGTGTTCAGATATATATAGCATATATGTATGTATGTATGTATATATATATATGTACTCACACTTATATATTAAATAAAACCGAATGCTTTTCTTTTAAGTTACCCGATCCCAAAAGGCAACAAAAACAACAAATTTCTTGCTCGTCCTTCACTTGGCGATGCGTCGCATCTGCTTCGTCTGCTCGCTCATGGCCAGCTCCGCGTTGTCCGCCTTGTTGATCAGCGAGTCCAGCTTGTCCAGCTGGCTGTCCATCATGGCGCGCTTGGCCGCCTTGGCAGCGGCCACCTCTGCTGCTGTGGGCGGTGCCATGGGCTGGGGCTGCCTTTGCACGGGCGGCTGCGGTGGCTCGGCTGACTGCTCCATGCTGTAGCCGGGCACATCCATGGAAGCACTAGCGCCACTGGCGCCGCTCAGACTACCGCCACGCGTAAATATGTTTGTCAGACTGCCGCAGGCCGTTTGCTTGAAGCGATTCAGACGCTGCTGCGTGCTGGACAGGATGCTGTTCAGCTCGTCCAGCTTGCCGCCGGCGCTGCGCAGCGACTCGCCCTGCTGCTCGAGCATCTGCAAAGGGCAAAAAGGGCCAGCTGGAGCATGGACCGTAAGCGAATGCTAAGTGGACGATACTTACGACTGCCTCGGCAGCCTCCTGCTCGGCCAGCTGCTGTTCGAGCCGTGCGCTGCGTTTGCGCTCAAATTCAGCCTTGTCCGGCGGCTGCAGACCGAGCAGCTCTGCGCGCTGGCACTCCTCCTCGTAGCTGACCTGCTCGGACATGACTGGCTGCTAGCTGCGGGCTGTGGGCTGTGGGCTGTGGACTTACGACTAATCAACAAATGCACCGCACATCGATTTTTGACATGTGCAAAGGCGAATGTGATGAATCGAGTGGCTGGCTGGAGGTCTGGCAACTGGGCCATGACGCATGCGCCGGACAGTGGGCGCAAAGTGGGTGGGACGAGCAGACACAGCTGACACACAGACACACACATTTACCCATACATACATGCAAGTATGTAAATAATAAAAATCTCTGCATTCAGCTATATATATTTATATATAGATTTATATATATATATATATATATACAATTAAGACTAGGATTCGGCGCAGCGCTCATAGATCTGTATGTAGGACTCGGTCAGCGTGATCATCTGTGGCAGGATTTCGGTGACATGCAGATCCTGCATCTCGTACCACTGCCCGTTGGCCTTGTGCAGGATGTGGACGCGATAGGTGCCCTTCTTTGGATCGCCATCGTGCACAATGTTGGCCACCAAATTATATTTCGTTTCCTTCAGATCCTTGTCGCGCTGCTTCATGCCCAGAATGTCGCCAAAGTCCACATTTCTGCAATGAATATTATGATTAACTGAATTGAATGCACCACTGACTGCACCACTCACTTGATGGGAAAGTTGACAATCGTGGGATTCTTCTCGAGAAAGAATGTGTTCTTCGTGAAGCGCTTGATGTACAGAATGATGAACTGCGGCAGGCGTGTGATCTCGAAGCGCTTCATGAAGTTATCCTTGTACGTTTTGTACTCCTTCTCGGCGGTGCCATTGAATTTGGCCAGCAGCTGATAGAGATTCACCTGCGGTATTATGTTCTCACGGAACTCGTCCGTGAACAGCGGCGGCGGCGGCAGATCACAGGTGAGATATATGAAATTGGTGTGCTCCACCTGATCCTTGTACTCGTCGGTGGCGAGCAGCTGCTGCTTGGCCGCATCGTCCAGCTCAACGGGCGGAATCTTGCGCGTATAGATGTTCATCTCGCCCAGGAATATCTTGTACAAAATGGACGAATTGGGCTGCTTGTTGCCCTTGAGGGCGCGATGCAGCGTGTTGAGGAACCAGGACAGAAAGTCAATGGGATCACCCTGCTCGGTGATCTGGAAACGTTTGTTGGACCACAGCACCACCGCCTGCAGCATCTCGTGCGGCGACACGTGCGCCTTGAAGTTGCGCGGATTCCACATTTTGCGCATCAGTTCGCCAAAGCGCTGAACCAGCGTGAACATGGAGTCGCCCGGCGGCCGTTTGATTGTCGCATAGTTCTGCTCGCGCAGAAAATAATCCCGCAAGGGGCTGACATGGGACAGGGCATGGAGCACCACATTGCAGTAGTCGTTCGCCTTGATGTTGTTCAGGCCCACCACGCCGGGTAAATAGAGGACGCCGTCAACGGTGCGCGAATGCTTCGGCTGCAGCTGGTCCAGTTTGCTGATCTCGTTGCGCAGAAATGTCGGATTCAGCACATATTTGATGTCGTCCAGCGAGGAGTCGATGATCTCGTAGTTATCCGGCAGGCAGTAGAAGCGCAGCGTATGCAGATTGAGGAACACATGATGCGCCTCGCCCACCGAATGTGTGTAGGCGTGTGTGTTGGTGCCACGCCCCTGAAAATACTTGCCGCACACGAGGCAGGCGTAAACGTTTATGCGCGTCAACGATATGGAGCAGAGTTTCTCGAAATCGAAATCCAGCAGATTGCGATTGATCGTGTCCAAATAGGGGCAGACACGATACTTGGGATTGAATACCGAAGGCGTCTCTGGAACAGTTATATGTTTACATTCAATATATAATCTGATTTGACTAATTTACTGTGCTAAGCTTACCATCCTCTTCCAATAGGGTCTTGTGCTTCGTCTCCACTTTGGCGCGCTTTGCTGTTTGTATATGACATAGTAGGTGTATTCTAGTGAGTTGTATATATACTGAGTTGTATGGCTTACCTGCGGGTTGTGTTTGCTCCATTTCCAGTACGCTTAAAATTCTTCCTAGCTATTGTTTACGTTTTGTCTATAACTGTAAATGTCCATTAATTGTGTTTTTGCCGGCGCTTCTATCAGCTAGAGATGTAACAATATCAATATGCAACGATAGTTCAGTGTCGTGCTAGCCTATCGATATTTCCAATTAAAATGTGCAAAATTTACGCAGCATACTTTGAGGACCCAGCTAAATTCATGCCATTGGAGCTAAGCAGCTCAACTTGAGCTGCAAGCAATAATAAGCGAATATGCTTATAAATTATAAAAATAAATATTTCTATTGCTCAGCTGAATGAGAGAACTACAACTGTAATTAAGTAAAAAACTATGCTCACACATTTAATCGATATAGCTTACATTATGGATATTTGCATACATATATGAAATTATGCTCTGGAAAGCTTTTATGAAAGCAAACAAAATGCATCAAATGCTCAGTCAACATAATGAGAGCAAACTATTTATTGGCTTGACATTGAATGCCCTACCGATCGACATGTACCAAGGGAGTTCTATAAGTGAGTGGATGAGAGCGTGTCTGTGAGGCAGAGAGTGTGTGTAGGGAGAGAGAGAGAGAGAGGCAGAACAGCTATCGCTTGCTTTGAAAGCTTCTTGCGGATTAGAACGATAAGATGTAAACAAATCAGATTAGCTAACTTTGATCAGTCTCAGAAAGCTAACGAGCGGCGAAGCAGATCAAAATTTTCCACACGCACCAAAATACCAATCCATATAAGCAATGTGGAGCGATTTAAAGAACAAGGTGATCCTAGTGACCGGCGCCGGGGCTGGCATTGGTAATGCTCTGGTCAAGCAGCTAGCCGGCGCTGGCGCCACGGTCATTGCGGTGGCGCGCAGCGAGGCGCAGCTGAAGGATTTGGTGGCCATCGATGCGCAGCACATTAAGCCACTGTTGCTCGACTTGCGCGACTGGAACAAGGTGCGTGAGGGCTTGTCCGCTGTGCCGCCGCTCGACGGGCTGGTCAACAATGCGGGCGTGGCCATTATCAAACCCTTCGCTGAGCTGACCGAACAGGATTTTGATACGTAAGTCGTTGGGGTTTCATTTGCCAGTGATCATATTTCATATGCTGCCCATTCTGCAGGCAATTCGATGTGAACATCAAGGCCGTCTTCAATGTGACCCAGGCGCTGCTGCCCAAGCTACGCAATGGCAGCTCCATCGTCAATGTCTCCTCGATTGCGGCGTCCCGCAGCTTTGCCGGCCACACCGCCTACAGCGCGACCAAAGCGGCATTGGACTCGCTGACCAAATCGTTGGCCCTGGAGCTAGGCGAACGTCAGATACGCGTCAATTCGGTCAATCCCACCGTGGTGCTGACCAAAATGGGCCGTGACAATTGGTCCGATCCGGCCAAGAGTGGGCCACTGCTGGCCCATATACCGCTGCATCGCTTCTGTGAGGTGCAGGAGGTGGTCGATGCCATTGGCTATCTGCTGAGCAGCAAGTCCAGCTTTGTGAATGGCCACCACATCAATCTGGAGGGCGGCTACTCAGTCTCCTAAACACACACACATACACAGGCAAATACACACATACACAGAGATACACAAACAATATTTCAATCAATAAAAGCATTTAATATTACATTTTTCGTTTTCATTTTTATAATTTTTGTTTTTGTTATGTATATTTGTTGTATGTTATTAAAATGGCCTGGGATACCGATTGGGGCCATTCAAATGCTGTATAACTGTTTCCATTACAGAAGACAAAAAAAAAATTGCTACATATATATATATATATGCATATAGTAATAATTATAATAACTGAGCGGGGAGAAATTCAAAAGCAGAACGGAACGGACTTAAATCGATACAAATATACAATTGTTTTGGATTTATATACGTGTCTACATATTGTATATACATATGCATCTATATGTATATGTATGTGTATTGCATTTGGGATTGCATTTACGTTTTACGCACAGATTTTGCTCTGCTGCTGGCTCTGCAGCTGCTGCTGCTGCTGCTTCTTCTCGCGCTCACGACGACGCAGCTTCTTGCGACGCCGATCAATGACGGCCAGCTCGCCCTTGATGCTGTTGTAGGCCTTGCGCAGATCCTGAATCTGTTTGCGCAGTATCGATATGCACTGCTCGGCGCTGAGTGAGGGATCTGCAGAGGATTGATAGAATTATTTAGATTACATGTTCACAAATTTAATTTTGAATCCTTCCCAATTCACTTACCCAATTCCACCAGGAAGTTGTAGGGACATGGTCTTACGCCCGATGTATTGGTTACTGTTTGTGCCGACTGTTGTTGTTGTTGTTGTTGCTGCGGCAGTTGTTGTTGCTGCTGCTGCTGTTGCTGTTGATGGTGCTCCTGCTGCTGCTGCTGCTGCAGCTGTTGCTGTTGCCCCTGCGGCAACAGTTGATGGCGTGCACTATGGCGCTGTGTGGTGACTACATTCTCGGAAGTATCATCCGTATCGGAGCCAGCTAGAGTTGAGAATAAGTTTATTAATATGGATTATTGGTATTCGGGCTAGTTTTCCTGGGCAGACAACAAGAACTTGGAGCACGACAGAAAGAGAGAGAGTGAGCGAGGCAGAGAGAGAGAGAGAAGCAAAGAGTTCTCTCTTTCTCCAACTTCCGCGGATTGCAACTGCTAGCTACCATTCAATTTCAATGGAGCTTTGGCAATGTGTTACTCCTAAGCTCCTTTTCAACACTGTTTTCGTAATCGCAACTATTTACCAATGAACGCTTGAGATAAAATTTTCATTGTGCTGCACAGTTTTCAACCCATAAATTATTCTCATTACATTTTCTATGTCATGAAGCTCAATACTCCTCAATCGTTTTCCAACACTGTTTTCGCCTTGGAGAAACTATAATGAAAGTCTATCTAATTTCATATTTCATTAAGATTCTAATGCAAATTTGTCATAACATATTCCCCTATTATTCGCTGTCCATGAACCTTAATACTCTTAAGCCGTTTCCCAGCACTGTTTTCGTAATGGAGCAAGTTAACGGAACCTTACATAAATACCATCAATTCGTATTTCATAAAGATTTTACTGTCAATTTAACATACAAATTGATTCCCATTTTCCTTTTCCATTACTTTTCCTTTTCCAATACTATTTTGGTCATGGATAACTTTGATCGGAACTCTTTTTCTTTACCTAGCAAGAGTATATCAATACTATATAAATGGATTCTACTATAAGCTGATCATAAATGTGAATCCGCTTTTATTCTGTGGATCATGAGCCACAACACGCTTTAGTCGTTTTGCAACACTGTTCTTGCTACTACGCCACAGCACTTCGAGATACTTGCCTGTCGTTGCAGCTGTTTTGCGCATGTTGTTGATCTGCTGCCTGCGGCGCTTGCCCAGGAAGTGACAGACAGCGGATTGGACATTCGATTCGTTCGCCTTGGCGCGTCGCTTGCGTCGGCTGCTGAGCGCGCTGTTGCTCTCGAGCTCGGTGTGCTTCTTGCTGCTGCCGGTCTCCTCGCTGCTGTCGTCCTGGCTGGCCGGCGACTCTGGCGAGCTGTTGGGCGACACCGAGGCAGCCGGCGCCGATTGCCCAGCCAGTGCCGCTTGGTTGGCACGCGGCGACGGTGTGTCCGGCGGCAGAGGCGCGATGCCCGGTATGGTTAGCGTGGAGCTGACGGCGGATGAGCTTGTGACAGCGGCGCCACCAGTGCCTGGTGCCAGGCCAAGTGTGTTGCCCGTCGGCTCGTCTTTGCTGCTGTAGTTGGGTGCCGGACTGCCCGGTATGGTCTCCTCGCAGAGCAGATTGATGGCCGCCTCCGTGTGGGAGGCCTCGCTGATCAGCGGACTGCCCGCTGCGGGTGAGACGTGCATGGGCAGCTCCTTGGCCTGTTGGTACAGTGCGAATGGGCGTGGCAGCGGTGACGGCGACGCCTTGGCCTCCACGGCCAATGATTGTGCCTGTGAGTGGGATTGTGCTTGAGCCTGAGTCTGTGCCTGTGCCTGAGCCTGAGCCTGAGCCTCCGGCAACGGTGGACTCGCCTGGGCCGTGTACGGTTTCAGCAGCAAACCGCCCTCGTCGGTGGCGGGCAGCAATTGCTTGGGCGTTTGCTTCACTTCCGGCTTGGGTGAGGCGGGACTGGCGCTGCCCGGACTGTGACGCAGTGCCACAACCACAGAGACTGGAATCTCGGGCACCACAACTGGCACTCCAGGTGCAGACATCACAGGTGGCAATGCTGTATGCGTTGCAGCTGCTCCAGCTGCTGCTGCTGCTCCAGTTGCTCCAGCTCCTGCTGCTGTTGTAGTTGTTCCAGTTGGTGTTGGTGACGTTGTTGGTGGTACTGTGGCTTGCTCCTTGTTGAGGAAGACATTCATGGACATCGGCACACCCATCATGTAGACGGGCTTCAATGCAATGGGTGCCTGGACGCCCGTCAGCGGTTTGCTGCCCGCAGCAGCCAGCTCCAGCTTGACCGGCGCACTGCCCATTAGGCCGCCCACTCCCTCGGACATGGGACTCTTCAGTTCGGTAGCCGTGTTCGGCTCCTCGGCAATGACGTCCTCAATGACCAGACGCTGCTCGGAATCGGTGCTATCCATTGACTCATCCGAGAAGCTGGCAGTGCCCACTGCTGCTGTCACCGGCGGTGTTCCAGCTAGAGATGAGCCCAACGACTGGCCAGCCACTGGCGTCTTGCGCTGTATGGCGCACTCGAGCTTCTGTATGGTCTCGCTCAGCTCGTTATTCTTCGCCGGCAGCGATGCATCCAGAATGGACTTCGTTTCGGGACTGTTGCTGCTGCTCGTCCGATGGTACAGCTCGCTCAGCACCGAGGGCAGGCCACTGCCGGTCTGCACCTTGAGCGGCTCACTCAGCAGACTCAATGTGTCCAGCTTTAGGGTCGAGCTGATGCTATTGGGTTCCACTTTGAGACTGCTCGGATGCGGAAGCGGTTGAAGTGACTGTTGCTGTTGCTGCTGTTCGTCTCTGTCCGTGGTGCTTTCCGTTTGGATCTTGGTTTTGCTCTGCTCCACCTCCTCCTTCTTTTGGCTGATGGCCTTGAGCACCTTGTCGGCAATGGAGGTGGGCTTCTGCTCGTACTTGACCGCATCCAGATCGAATGAACCAGCCCCAGATCCCGCTAGCAAGATCTTTACGTTCTCCAGCTTCTCCAGTTTGTTGTCCTTGTTCGATTCGCCGGAGCTGTAGCCGCTGCCCTCGTTCGAGGTGCTCAGCTCAAAGACGTTGCGCGTCTCCATGAATGGACTGCCCACAATCTGTTGTTGTTGTTGTGTTGTCTTCGCCACGCCCACCGCTTGGGGTGGAGTGCTCAGCTTGGGGGAGACGGGCACAGCAATGACTGGTGTGAAGGCAGCAGAAACTGATCCTGATCCTGATCCAGATGCAGCTCCAGCTCCAGCTCCAGCTCCAGCTGCAGGTGCTCCGGTTGCTGCTGGCGGCGTTGCTGGCAGCTGCAGTGCATCAGGGAGCGGCTGCAGTGCAACATTGAGCGCCCTTGTTGTCTCCTGCACCGTCTGGGCGAGCTCCTCGTTGAGGGCCACGATATTCAAATTGAAGCTGGGCGATCTGCGCAGCACATCGAAGGGCGTGGCATGCGGATGCCCAGGCGTTAGCTGTGCGCCGGCAGCAACTGTTCCACCTGCTGCTGCATTGCATCCAGCAGCATTGCCTGCCTGTGCCTTGCTGCCAGCTCCAGACGCCGACGCCGCGGACGACTTGACACTGTTGGGACTGGCTGCTGGCGAGGATTGCGCAGCTGCGGTTGCCTGTTGCTGCTGCTGCTGCTGCTCCACTTTGATTAGCTTAGGCTTCTCCAAGGCCGTCAGGCTGGCCTCCTTGAGCGGCGAGCCGCGTTTCTTGGCCTTGCTCGGCGTGCTGGTCGCAGCAGTTGCTCCTGCCGCTGTTGCTCCACCAGCTGCTGCTGTACTTACGGCATAGCCACGCGTCGCTGGCTCGTGGCCCACATGTGGCAGCTGATGCTCGATGCTCCGCGGCATGGGGATCATCTTGAGCGCCTGCTTCCGTGCCGCGGCGCTGACAATAACCGGCGCCGATGCCGGCGGCGTGGTGCTGCTGCTGCTGCTGCTGCTCGCAATGACCGAGGTGCCACAGGCCATGGGCGAGATGCGCTTCTCGAACTCGAAGGGTTCGGTGTCCTTGAACTCGTACACGTCCGAGGAGAGTCGCTTGATGCCGCTGGTCAGGTTGCTGTTGTTGATGCCGGCAGCACCGCCAGCACCGCCAGCAGCACCACCACCACCGACGTTGCTGTATTTGGACTCCTTGCCCGTGCCAGCTGCGGCTGTGGCTGCAGCGGCCGCTGTTGTTGTGGTGGTGGTGGTGGTGCCGCTGCTTATCTCCAGCTTGCTCATGTCCGGCAAAGAGCGCGTGGCCGACGAGCTGCTCAGGCTGGCGGACGTGGCAGCCGAATTGTTGCTGCTCGAGCAGAACGAGCTGGAGGATGAACTGGATGAGGAGGGCGAACAGGCAGCCGGCAGTTCCACCTTCAATGTGGCCGTCTCCTTGTGCTGCACCGGCTCGGCAAACTTTTTGCCACGCTCCAAGCCAATGGAGCCACCTGCCTGCAGTTTCTTCAGCAGCTCTAGCTTTTGGCCAGGCGACATTGTTGCTCCTGTTCCTGCTGCTGCAGTTGCTGTTGACGCTGTTGTCGTTTCGGTTTTCTCCGTCTTCTTGATCATTGTCAGCGGCTTCTCCACGATCACCGAGGTGCATTTGGCTGTTCCACCAACGCCGCCGCTGCTGCTGTT